AAGGACTCTTACTGAAAAGTAATTAAAACACGGTTTCTGAATCTGTGATTCAGATTCAGATCTCATTAAAGTGAGATCTGTTAATCCTGTATTTCTCAAACCCAGGGATGGTATCCCTGTGCTTCAATAAAACTATTGTGTTATAATATTCAAACCAATTAGAATTGCTAAAACTAATTCATATAAAAAGGGAATTTTAAAAGGACTCTTACTGAAAAGTAATTAAAACACGGTTTCTGAATCTGTGATTCAGATTCAGATCTCATTAAAGTGAGATCTGTTAATCCTGTATTTCTCAAACCCAGGGATGGTATCCCTGTGCTTCAATAAAACTATTGTGTTATATCAATGTTCAAAATTTTCCCCATTTTCATTTGTCTTTCAATGACTACTTGAATAATTTTCTTCAGTAAATGTGATGATTCATAATACCTAAAAATGTTTTTTGCTCAATTGGATTTAGATCACTAGCAATAATGTTTTATGAGATAAAACTTCAAATATGGGCATTTAGTTATACACTTTCTATTTCCTAGGAAACTTTCCAAATGTTCAAAATTTTCCCCATTTTCATTTGTCTTTCAATGACTACTTGAATAATTTTCTTCAGTAAATGTGATGATTCATAATACCTAAAAATGTTTTTTGCTCAATTGGATTTAGATCACTAGCAATAATGTTTTATGAGATAAAACTTCAAATATGGGCATTTAGTTATACACTTTCTATTTCCTAGGAAACTTTCCATGTTTGAATAATTTCTTTTATGAAATTGATGTGTCTGAGACTTATCTTAAATACATGCTGTAAAATACAAGTTTCCTTAACATAAGACACTAATTATCATCTTTTCTGAATCATGTAGGAAAAGGATTACTACAATGGAAAATATGTTGGGACAAGATTACTACAGTGTAAAATATGTTGGGACAGCTGGTTCTGCTATTAAAATTGATGAAAAGTTCTTAGGCCTTCAGGGCCAGCAGATAGCATAGTGGTTATGTTGCTGGACTCCCACATGGCTGACCACAGTTCAAGTTCTAGATTTGGTGGCTTGAAAAATCATGCCAGATGTTTATGTGTGCATGCCCAAGATTCTGGAAGGGAAATGGAGGAGAAGGGATTACAACATGGCCATCTGCCTTGGGAGGTGAATTCTCACACTCCATCTCACTGTTTCTGTCTCTCTCTATCTGTCTCTAGCAAGTCCATATCCTAAGGCAAAAACAAAAACAAACAAAAGCTCTATAAAAAATCGAACATATATTACATTTGAGTAGGCAATTTCAGACCATTCAAAAAATAAACAAACTCAGTTGCAGTGGCACAGGCAAAAGGGCATGGTACTGTAGCTATATGGGAAAGCTTAGGGTTCAGATCCTGGGTTAACCTGAACACAGCAGACATCCTTGTGATCTTGACTGGTTAGAAGGCTGCAGGGATGAATGTGGCATGCAAAGACCCTTTCTGGGATCCTAGTTTGTTTGTGTGTGTGTGTGTGTGTGTTTCTCAGTGTCTATTTTCTTTCTTTCGTTCTCTTTCTAGCTTTTCCTTCCTTCCTTCCTTCCTTCCTTCCTTCCTTCCTTCCTTCCTTCCTTCCTTCCTTCCTTCCCTCCCTCCCT